TAAATATAATTTTCAGTTTTATCATCATACAAGCTAGCAAAAATTTAAGTTTTACAAGTTTATAAATTTTGCTATATGTTCAAGTTTAGCATGTTTTTCTTCTTGAGATAGACAAGATTACACTATTGCTTCTCTTGAGATTGCAAGCTAGCAAGTCTTGGTGAAATTCAAGATAGCAAATTCTACATCATGTAAGTTAGCAAATTTTTACATCATTTTTTAGAACAAGCATAGCTAGTTCTTTCTCCCCCTTTGTCACTGTCAAAAAGAAGGGAATAAACTAATTTTGTAATTCTTTTTTCCTTTACATCAATTTTCAAATCATGACAAAGGATAAATAACAAAGTTGAAAAATTAAGTTATAAATGTGAAAATAATTTTTTATCATGAATATTTCATCATTGCATGTATCATTATCATGAGTTGAAGTATTGCATGCATAATATCAAATCATTATTCATAATTACATCTATATTTCAATCATTATTTCAATCATAAAAAATGAAAGATCAAGTCTAAAATTCGAGAAATCATGAGAAACCATAATTGATTTTAATAAATCTCCTCTTAAATAATTAACGAAAAGATTTCTTAGGAGATCGTAATATAGATAAAATTCATTTAATCTTGTAGGAGAACAAGATCTCAATTCATGCACATAAAATTTCTCAATTCATTATGAATCATAAAATTTATAATTCCAAAAAATCATAATTCATTTAGATAGTATATAGCAAAAAAAACAATGAGAAAATGATATTCATTCATAGAAAGATTTCAAGTATCAAATATTGAGAAATCAAGATCATAAATTGAATTATTTTTTTCTTTAGTAAATGGTAAAGAGAAACATAAGAGATCAAATAAGATCTTAATTCATAAAATATTTCATGTTATAAATCTCAAAAAATCAAGATAAAGCTTATTCAAATTCAAATCGTCACATCAAAATCATTTCCAAGTGATTCATAAAAAAAAATATAGATATATTCGTTAATCTCTCCTTTTTGAAAATCAATGAAGTAGAGTAAAGAAATTTTTCAAGGAGAAAGCTTTCCTCTTTTTAGTGTTTTAATTCATATGATTGATTTCATATAAGCATGCCCCTTGTCATTTATGTCAAATCAAAACATGCATCAATATTTAAAACGGAAAGACCAAAAATCATCAATATCAAAAAGTGTAACATATAATTCCAAAACATATGATTTCAAATCTTTACTTCAAGTCCTCATACATAAAAATCATCAAGCATGATACAAACATTTATTTTCAAAACATTCATCATGATAAGGCATACAAGCCATAAATACAAAGAAATCATTAAACAAAAAGCATATTCATCAATTATGGTTTCATTTAGCATAAGGCATTTTCAAACAAAATTGAAAAGCAATACGAAAATCATCAAGATATACATTATTGCTTCTTAAAACATACATAGGATTTATCTTAACTATTAGATTTAAGTCTAACATTTTGTTCATTTATTATAAAACATGTAATTTTCATGATCATTTTCAAAATTACTAGAAAGATAAGCATGATCCTAATACTTTTAACATTTTCATTACATCATTAAACATGCAATTTTCAAGAAAATTTTATATATAATTTTTCTAAACTAAATTAAAAATAACTCATGCTAAAGCATCATGTAATTTTGAAATAAGGTTTGGTTACCTCATTGTCGAAAGCCGTTAAGGCATAGTTTGCTGCCTCGCCTTTGTTGGTTTGCTCCTCATCTTCGGATGCGGTCGATTCATCCCAAAGTGCTTTCTTCTTCTTGCGTTCATAGCAAGTAGTTACGTTTTTTTTGTTCTTTAATTTTTATTTCATGAACTTTTTAAATTTCATATTGAGGAGTTCAAATTCACCATCACTTGAGCTTATGCTTAAGTGGTCTTCAATTGTTTTAAGTCTGAAATCCTTCCTGTTCTTTGGAAGGTTGTCCTCAAGTTCGTTTTGTGCCACATTGGTCATTTCGTAGGTCATTAAAGACCCAATTAGTTTTTCGAGTGGAAGCTTATTTAAGTTTTTTGCCTCTTATATGGTAGTTATTTTTGAATCTGAATTCTTATGAAGAGAACGTAAAATTTTGTTTCCAAGTTCAAAATTTGAAAAACTTTTACCAAATGCTTTTAGACTATTGATAACATCCGTAAAACGGGTGTACATGTCTCCAATAGTCTCGCTTGGTTCCATTTGAAATAACTCAAAATCATGCATCAAAATAATAATCTTCGAATCTTTAACTCTACTAGTGCCTTTGTGTGTGATTTCAAGAGTGTGTCATATATCGAAAGCCGTTTCGCAAGTAGAAACCCGATTAAACTCAGTTTTATCCAAAGCGTAAAATAGAGCGTTCATAGCTCTAGTATTTAAGGAAAACATTTTCTTCTCCAAATTATTCCATTCTTTCATTAGAGTGGAAGACTTTTGAAAACCACTTTCGATAATATTCCATAAATTCAAGTCCAATGAAAGTAAGAAAACTCTCATTCGAGTTTTCCAATATGTGTAGTTCGTCCCATTGAAAATAGGAGGACGAACGATAGAAATCTAAAAAGAGCCATTTCTCTTGGGTGTTAAACCAAATGAGAAATAACATGGCTCTGATACCAACTGTTAGGAACGAGTCGGCACTAAGAAGGGGGGGTGAATTAGTGCAGCGGACAAAAACGTCGGTTTCATAAAATATTTGTTTCGTACGATAAAATCGATCTCGAAAAGATATTAAACTTCAAAGCGTTCGTTAGAGTATAATGAGAAAGTAAAGCAAGTAAGGAGGTTTGCAGTAAGGTAAATTGCACAAAAGAAAAACAAACCAGATTTTTATAGTGGTTCGGTTATCGTGACCTACATCCATTCCTGATTCCTCTTCCGTCGAGGCCACCGGTATCCACTATTGGTCTTCCTTCAATAGGTAAAGACCAACCACCTTTTATAGCTCTTTCTCCTTTTATCGGATTTAGGAGATAACCCTTACACCCCCACTTACTCATCTCTTAAACTATTCTAACACTTAGAATAATGAGAGGATTTCACACAAGATTGTAATAGTGTTTCTTTCTTTTTTCACTCTCAATACTTGTGTGGTTTAACCGAGGATGAGAGGGGTATTTATAGGCCTCAAGTTGATTAAAATTTGGAGCCTAAAAATATCTTATCCCCGATTCTCGAGGTCCTGACAGTACCACCGCTTGTGTTGGGCGATACCACCGCCTGTGTTGGGCGATACCACTGCCTGGAAGACTGTGTCTGGGCGGTATCATTACCCAGACTAGCGGTACCACCGCCTGACACTACCATTGGGCAGTACCACCGCTTGACATAGTCTCGAAGACTATGCCACAACTATGCCACCTGTTTGGTCACTATTTGGGCCTTCCACTTGGCCCAACACAGTCCAAACTTGGGTCACTGAATGGACCTTTCTCTTGACCCAAAATAGCCCTATTTGAGCCCAATTAATCCCAAATTGAGTTGGTCTAATTACATTCTAAATCGACTTAATTAGACTCTAAACTAACTCAATCTACACATAATTGATTACAAGTGAATCCTATGTTGTCCGGCATATCATTGGTTCTTCTAACGCTTCGTCTGATCCTTCGGTGCATCGTCCTATTTTGCGGCCTTTGCCCAATCGGCATGTTGACCTCCACAACTCCGATCTCCTTGGCGCAATGTCTGCTCTTCTAGGCCTGATGCCCGAATTCTCGGCCCGAAGCCTTCTACCGACACATCGACTGTTCCTCCGGTCCAACATCCAATATTCTAGCATGTTCACTCCGGCTCAACGTCTGATTCCTCCTGCTTTAATCAATTTGCCTCTCCTGATCGACGTTAGCCCTGTGTCACTCAAACGCATATTAGAATAACACTATAATTGGTTTCATCAACAAAATCCGAGATTCAACAGAGGTGACAGCCAAAAAGCTTAACCTATGCCCTTTTGGTTCCCTCCTATTTATAGAGGTCCCATATCAACTTAACCCTAATGGATCCTGCCCTATCGAGTATTAGATCTCTATTCAATTACCCAAGCCTTTTATATTAGTGCGTCTCTACCCAATAATCTCTTATTAGCTCTTATTGGATCTCATCTATATGATCCAATAATTTAGAGGCTTAATGAATATCTTATAAGATAAAGGCTCCGACGGATGTCTTATATCCAAACCTCTACTCGTCAAAACACTTACGATATATGTATGACTCTCTAGGCCTAATATATAGCTTGTTATGAGTCATATATATCAGAACTCCTTTTAGCTCAGTGAATTATTATCTCCATAATAATTCACTCGATTCATCGACTACGAATGTACTAGGCTACTATATCGTAGTCCCTAGACGATATAGGGAAATCCAATCTTTGGACCTATTTGTCCTCAATTACTATGTACCTATAATCCCTTATCCATCTAATATCCTAGAGATCGTATACCGGGTATGGTGTTGTCAAGCTCATACGGTTTCTCCTCGAGTCTCGCTCTAATCGGATTCTCTGAAAGAACTCTTTTTTTCTCAATCTGAATGATCTTGGCCAAAGATTTGTCTGAACAAGAACACATAAGTTATTCCTCTCATGATACTGAGAGTGGATGATCCTTTATCGACACTCAATAGCCCTTGTAAGGTTAACTGTCACTCCTAATGACCGATTGTGTTAGATTTGAAATTTCCAACATGAATGCGAATGGTAAATTAACCTGAAAATTTTATATAACAATAATATAAGCTATAAATTTAATTTAAGAGAAATATATATTATTTTTTAGAAAATAATGATGCTACAATCTCGTGGGTAATTAAGCTATTATTCTGCTTTTTCTTAATTGTTGTCTTACAAAGCAATGGGACAAGCACATTGGAATTACAGTGGCTTGGGACGTCCAGCAGATTCAATAGTATTTTCTCTCCCCTTAGCCATCTGTAAAGTTGCAGGAAAAGCTGAATGAGGCTGGACCAGATTGCCTATAGAATTTGCTCTGAAATGGACAACTACATGGCGTCGAAGACTTTTTCCTTCCATGAGGAGCCAATTAATTGATCAGTGACGATTACAGGCCAACCTTTGTGAAAGATGGTAGAGAAAACATAGCTTTCAACATTGGATCAGATCCAAATAAGCTGATGTAGAAGTTTTCTAGCACATGATAAGCGAGGCCTGACCTGCTTTCCTTTATACAGTATGATGATAGTACCAGCAAGGAGTTGCTTGATGATGCTTCTGAGACCGAGCAGCAGAAAGCCAGAGAGCCGGTAGCGATCTGCAGCAAGATCAGAGCATGAGCATGGCCTCTACCCAGTCCACGGCCTCCACGGACACGCATCACAACCCGCACTTCGACGAACTCCGGTGGGTGATCCAGATACGCCACACGCTGGAGGAGGAGCACGACGACGACATGGGCATCCCCGTGTCGGTGTTCAACGTCCCCAAATGCTTGCAGGTGACCAAGCCCGAGGCGTACGTCCCCCAGCTGATAGCCGTGGGGCCGTACCACCACTGGCGCCCCGAGCTGTACGAGATGGAGCGCTACAAGCTCGCCGCCGCGAGGAGGACGCAGAAGCAATTCCACACCATCAAGTTGCAGCACCTCATCGAGCAATTCACCAAGCTCGAGCACAAGATCCGTGCCCATTACCACAGGTCCCCAGTCTTTCCTCTGCTGCCAGCGATGCTAACTCGGATATATCAGACTGAACGAGTCTTGTTTACAGGTACCTTGATTTCAATGGAGATACGTTGGCGTGGATGATGGCGGTGGATGCGTCGTTCTTGCTTGAATTCCTGCAGGTTTATGCTGTCCAAGAAGAAGGAGAAGGAGAAGGTAAGGTGCTCAGAAGGTTGTCTTCTCGGATGTCCCATTTGGTGGATTACACGGGGAGGAAGTCGGCGCACAACGTGATATTGAGAGACATAATGATGCTGGAGAACCAAATCCCGCTCTTCCTGCTGCGCAAGATCCTGGAGCTGCAATGCTCCTCGATCGAAGTCGCTGACGGCACGCTGACCAAGATGCTAACCGGCTTGCTCAAGGAGCTCTCCCCTTTCAAGCTGATGGACAACTTCCCCTGCATCGACGTCGCGCAGCACGCCCACTTGTTGGAGCTACTCTACTATGTCCTCGTCCCTAAATCCGACGACGACGGCGACGACAACGAGATCGAGGAGCAGAACGACGAGGCAGCGCCGAAGGAGCAGAAGTACGGGAACTCCGGCTACGTCAGGCAGCTTCTCGATGCGGTCTGGAAGATTGGATCGAGCCTCAACGGAGCTCCAATCCGCTTCATCAAGGGCGTCATCGTGTCGAGGCCCGTCAAGCTCGTGGTGCAGGTTCCCTGGAAGATCCTCACCAGCCTCCCGGGCTTCTCGATCGTGAAGCAGCCGGTCGAGAA